TTACTACCTCCAGTATTACTGGAAAAGTAAAATTTTCAGAGTAGTCATAACATGATCTTGTGGGATAGAGCCACATATTTTAATGACAGTTTGATGTATAAGACTGCCTCTGTGGAGCTCTCATATTGTCATTTTCAAATAAAGAGATTTACAAATGCATGTGAAGAAAAACAGCTTCAGCCCTGTTAACATTTCAAGTTACATTTTGTGTTTATAAGTTTATCCTGCCGAGTTTTGTCTTCAGTGGCTTCAATACCTGCCATCTGATCATCTTTAATATTCATCTTTTTTCATTTAGTAAAACGGCCATGTTAAGTCAAATAGTGGAAATAGTATTTTCCCTCAAGCTAATAACTAGCCTTTAGAAAGGGCTTCTTGCCACAAACTTAGTGATTTAGATAATAACTAAGTTATTTTCCTTTGATGTGTAAATCCAGTTTTATACCTAATTGTACATCATGGGCTTCTGATAACTACATGTGGTTTTAAAAAAAACTGCCCTAAAAGTAGATGGGATAAATTCATAGATTATAAGAATTGATATTTTTAAAATGTACATACTACCCTCAAGTGCTCTAGATTCAATGCTACTCGTATTATTATTAGTAGTAGTAGCAGTAATAGTGGTAGTAGTAGTAGTATTTTGATACAGGGTCTCACTCTGTAGTCCTGGCTGGCCTGGAATTTCCTATGTAGTCCAGAGTAGCCTGGAACTCACAGTGATTCACCTGCCTCTGCCTCCTAGGTGCTGAGATTGAAAAGCACGTGCCACCACATCCAGCTCATCCTAAAATGTGTACCACATACCTGACTAATAATCTTGAGAAAGAGAAACAGAGCTAAAAGCATCACACTGCCTGATTTTTAGGCTGAATTTCAGTTATAGTAATTAAAACAATATGCTACTGTTATAAAAATCGGTATGTGGCCTAATGGAGTAGAACAGAGAGCTCAGAAATAAACCTATACATATATAATCAACTGATAAAACATGGGCACCAAGTATTTACAATGGAATGAGGACAGTCTGTCAACAGATAAAGTTGGGAAAGCTACATGACCTATTAAAAAGTAAAATTGGACCCTTTATCTCAATCAGTTATAAAAATGAACTTGAAATGAATTAGACTTAAATATAAGATCTGAAAGAGTAAAACCTCCAGAAGAAAACTATGGAAGAGAACCCTTGGCATTAGTTTTGGCAATTAATTTGGGTACATACAACAAAACAAAAATGTTGTAACTGCATCAACTAAAATGCTCTACACAACAAGGAAACATCAAGTTAAAGTGAAATTGGTGGGAATCAATTTCAATGTATATATCTGATTAAAAGTTAGTGTCTTTTTTTTTCCTGTTGCTGTGATAAAAATACCCTGACAAAGGGTTTTTTTATTTTTTGGTCTTTTTGAGACAGAGTCTCCCTGTAGCCCCAGCTGTCCTGGAACTCATTATGTAGACCAGGCTGGCCTTGAACTCAGAGATCCGCCTGCCTCTGCCTCCCAAGTGCTGGGACTACAGATGTGTGCCCCCATGCCTGGCTGACAAAGGGTATTTTTAAGGAAGGAAAATTTTATTTTGGCACACAGCTCAAGGGTATTACGGTGGGCAAGTCAAAGTAGCAGGAACTTAAAACAGCTGGTCACATCACATCCCTAATCCAAAGGTGGAGAGCAGTGGATGCCTGTGTTCAGGTTACTTTCTTTTTTCTTATACAGTCCAGAATCCAAGCTTAAGGAATAGTGTTGCCCACAGTTAGAGTGGGTCTTCCCACTTGAATGAACCTAAACAAGAAAATATCTCACAAGTATGCCCAGAGGCTTGTTGACTCCAGATCAAGTCAAATTGACAACCAAGATTAACCAACATTCAAACATATCACTTTTAAGCCATAACTCATGACTCATGACTATCTTAAACTGTAAGAATACATTTTGTCTTTTTTTTTTTTTTTTTTTGTCTTTTTGAGACAGGGTCTCCCTGTAGCCCTGCTGGGTTGGAACTTGCTATGTAGACCAGGCTGCCCTCAAACTCATAGAGATTCACCTGCCTCTGCCTCCCAAGTGCTGGGATTAAAGGTGTGTGCCACCAAGCTTTAATTTTTTTTAATTTATTTTTATTTTAATTTTATGTGTATGCGTGTATTGCCTGCACATAAGTAAGTGCACCCATGTTGTGCAATGCCTGTGGAGGACAGAAGAGGCTGTTGGATCCCCTGGAACTGGAGTTACAGACAGTTGTTAGCTGCCATGTGGGTGCCAGGATTCGAACCCAGGTCTTCTGCAAGAACAGTCAGTGTTCTTAACCTCTGAACCATCTCTCCAGCCCTGTATTTTGTCTAACTTTCAAAGTCTCCACAGTCTTTAATAATTCAAACCCCTTTTAAAGGTCCAAAGCCCAAGTCCCATCTGAGACCCAAGGCAATCTCCTGTGAATGCCTATTTTAAAAACAAACAAACAAAAAAACCCAAGTCACATATTTCTAGCATATAGAGACACAGAGTAAATATTCCTGTTCCAGAAGGGAAGAATAGGAGCATAACAAGGAATTATCAAACCAAAGTGAGACCAAAATTCAGCAGGGAAAGTATCAAATCCTACAGCTCCATGTTTGGCACCTAGGGCTCATAAGGGAATCAGCTGGTCTACAGAAGGCTTATATGGCCCCTTCCCTCTAGCTTTACTGTCTGCAGGGAACACAGATTTTCTCTTGGGCTAGTTCCATTCTGTGCCTGTAGCATTCCTTGATGAATGTTCCATGGTCCTGGCATCTCCAATATCCTAGGGGCTCTGCTGCAATTTAGGCTTGAATTTTACAACTTCACACAATGGATTCTCAGTGTCCTTAACTGTGATTGTTAAAGTTTGGCTAGATAGATGGTGGTACATGCCTTTAGCCTCAGCACTCAGGAGGCAGAGGCAGGTAGGTCTCTGTGAGTTTAAGGCCAGCCTGGTCTACATAGTCCCAGGTCAGTAAGGCTACAGGGAGACCCTGTCTCAAAAAGATCAGAAAAAAAAAAAAAAGTTTGACTACATCTGGAATCAACTAAGAGATACACCTCTGGTAGATCTGTGAGAGATTTTTCTAGAAGGATTAACTGAAGGGCGAAGACCCTCATGCACAGTGGAGGTACCTTCCTGTGGCAGCTCAGATATAAAGAGATCTGAGGGAAAAGCAGAGCTGCTTTTACCTGCTCACCTTCACACTCTCCTGATGAGTGCATCTACCCTGTTGACACTACCGCTGCTATCCAACATAGACTGAAGACCAGTCCTGGAGAACACTATGCCAATCCAGACACACAGACAAATTCTGTATTATCTTTCTGATATAGAGAATCTCAAAGTGGCAAACTCATACAGGCAGAAGAGACAGGATTCTGTTTGTGAGGAGTTAGAGGTTGGAGAAAATAAGATGTTGGTTAAAAGATGCAAACGTAATTGTAAAATTAAGGTCTTGAGGATTTAATATTCGGCATGACAAATATAGTTAATATTGTATATTGTGTATTTTGAAATTTCCTGAGAAAGCAGTTGTTGCACCAAATTCCAGTTCCGCCCCCCCCCGCCCCCAGGATACCCACAAGTGCTTTCTGGGATCCCAGGGCCATGCGGTCCCTACGCCCAATGGACAAAACCAACACAATACATTCTATTTGGGGTTTTGTATAGTTATGATGTTCGGAAGAGGGTTACTTACAAAGACATGAATGCCCGTACGCCCTTTCCTTTCTCTACATCTCAGCTAAGGTTTTGAGATTCGCGCCGCCTGTGCACCCCCAAGATGGCGACTTTTTGCCGCTTTCCGGTGACCTCAGTTCTTCCCAGCATCCTCAGCGTCTGTCCTTAAACCTGCACCTTCATGCAACTGAAGCTGACCAATTGGGTGGGAGGGGTGACTGTCTCTAGTTCCCTCAGAGGACGTGCCTATCCAACAGCAGTTCTTAAGAGCCCTCTCTATTCCCACAAAATGATAATTATATAAGGTGATGAATGTGCTTCTAAACTTGTTAATCATTTTACAGCATAAATATATATCAAGTCATTAGATTGTATGCCTTGAATATACACAACTTTTGTAAATGCTACTTAAATAAAGCTTGAGGGGACATACATACAAAAGAAAAAAAGAATAAGGAAAACTCCAGATGAGATAATTATGTTGTAAAGGTTCATATTGTCTACTTGACAGAGACTAGACTTAACTAAGAGAAAGCTGCTGGGCATACCTATGAGGGATTTTCTTGATCTGATTAATTGAAGCCAGAAGACCCACCCTACATATGGGCTACACTTTCTTGTACCAGCCCAGGTAAAAGGAAGTCCCAGGGAAATGTCTTTTTGGCTTTTTGTCTGCTTACCTTCATGTCGTTCTGGCAAATTCATATGCCTGTGTGTCTGCTCTTCTACTGTGCTCCTGCTGACACCACCTCTTCTGCATTCTTTCACTGATATCAGAACTCAGCTCTAGGGGCTTCCAGTGTGGGCTAAGCCCAACAGCTCTCCAGGAATCCTCCAGGCCTTCAGCACCACATTGGGACTACTGAGTCCTCTACCCTTGTCCTAAGCAGCTCCTGAATTCTCAGACTCCAGCATGCAGATGTCCATTGTTAGACTACCCAGTCAACCTAATGAAATCCCCTTTCAAATATATATTCATTCTATCAGATCTGTTCCTCTAGAGGACCTGACTCATACATATGTATTATGGAATAAGTGAAAGGGAACAGAATAAAAAATATTTTGTAGTTTAAGACAAAGGGTGTTATAAAGGAGGTAGGCTTTGGGAATTCTTGGATAAAAAATTATTGAGGGATTTGGGGTTCCCAACATGTTATGTGGATTAGTACATAGGTGTTAAGTACTTGACCCAATGGATCTTGGGTAGTTTCACTTTAAAGGAGGCAGAATTACTATGAACTAGTAAAACTTAAGCTTCAGGGAATTTTCCAAGATTCTGTCTAATTTTAACATTGAAATTTTATTTTATTTTTTTAAAGGAGTCCCTAAAATTCTGTAAACAAGAACCTCACATGCAGGACTAACAGTGAAGCTGGAGGAAAAGGGAACAATTCAGGTGGGTTTTGAAACACTTACCACAGAAAAGTTGTAATGAGTTTTCATTGGCCTTGGTCATGGTAGAAAGGAGAGTGCTCCTTTAAAATAAATTGTAACACATGGCACAGAAGTAGCCAACTTTTGTATGTATTACTTTGACAAAATTATTTATTTAAGGGGAGATGGAACATTGGGCAGCTATGTACATGCAAGTTCTTCAAGCCAGGACAAACAATCCTAGACTTTGTTACTCTACCCTGCACCAAACCAGAGACCATATTGCCTGGAAGGGTGTTGGTGGGAAGAGGAAATTCTCCCCGACCATTGCTTGTCCAGGTCCTTCTCCTTCTCCTTTAACTATAACCCATGTCATTCCATCAATGGGGTGTCTCTAACACCTTTCCCATGTATTGATTTCCTTCCCCAGCCCCAAACCCCCATACACCATATCCATAAATAGAAATCAGCAATCCCTAAGGTGGTTTCAGCCTCCAAGCAATGGCATTAATGAACTAAAACCACAGTAGAAACTTGGATCAGCTTTTGTTTCTCTTTAAATAGTTTTGGACAATCTCTTCCATTTTAATTTCCACACAATTATTCTGTAAATCTAAACCTACTCTAAGAATAAAAACTACTGGTCCTGGCCCCACCCTCACCTCTCTCTGCGTCCCGGGACCTGCACCACCTGCTAACTCTCCTAGCCTGCAGTCCTATCCTCAGCCCTCTTGGGATAAGTCTATTTAAATAGTTTTGGACAATCTCTTCCATTTTAATTTCCACACAATTATTCTGTAAATCTAAACCTACTCTAAGAATAAAAACTACTGGTCCTGGCCCCACCCTCACCTCTCTCTGCGTCCCGGGACCTGCACCACCTGCTAACTCTCCTAGCCTGCAGTCCTATCCTCAGCCCTCTTGGGATAAGTCTATAGTGCAGCCCTCCACGCCTTGAATCCCCAAGCCACATTCACCCTACCATCTCCCCTGCAGTTCG